GCTTACTGCAAGCTCTGCCTCCCGGGTTCACATCGTTCTCTTGCCTCAGCCTCCTGAGTAGCTGGGACGACAGGCGCCTGCCACCACGGGGTTTCACCGTGTTAGTCAGGATGGTCTCGATTTCCTGGTCTCATGATCCACCCGCCTCGGCCTCCCAAAGTGCTGGGATTACAGGTGTGAGCCACCACGCCCTGCCAAGTTTTTAGTTTTTATTCTACTCCAGTGATATTTTCATTTATTCTACTTTATTTTTTATTTTATTTTTTATTTTTTGAGACAGAGTCTGGCTCTGTTACCCAGACTGGAGTGCAGTGTGCAATCTTGGCTTGCTGCAGCCTCCGCCTCCTGGGTTCAAGCGATTCTTCTGCCTCAGCCTCCCGAGTAGCTGGGATTACAAGTGCCCACCACCATGCCTGGCTAATTTTTGTATTTTTAGTAGAGACGGGGTTTTGCCATGTTGGCCAGTCTCATCTGGAACTCCTGACCTCAGGTGATCCGCCCGCCTCGGCCTCCCAGAGTGCTGGGATTACAGGTTACTTTATGTGTTTTTATTAATTAGAACCACATGTTTTCTTCCTTATTATCCTTTTTCAGAAATGTCCTGGCTACTCTTGTGTTTTTATTTTTATACATGAACTTTAGAATTATGTCGTCAAGTTCCAAAAAATCTGTATTGGGATTGTTGTCTGGTATCATTTTTGCTTCGAATATGGAATACTGAGTTCCATCTAGGGTTCACATTTTAAAGATTTTGACAAGATGGTGAGGACCCCAGAAGGAGGCAGCAACTTGTAAGGATAAGAACGGAATTTACATAAAAATATCATGAAACAGCTCAAAAATAATATTTGTATCTAAAATGTATTTTGTTCCTTTCTCCTGATTTTGAGTTTAGGTCTTCACACTTAATAGGTATCCTTGGGCAATCAATATTTCTTAGTTTCAGTTCCCAAATTGATAAAAGATTGGGGTAAGTCCTAGATAATCTCTAAGATGCCCTCCAACTTATACATTCCATAATTCTGTAAAATATTTGATGAAGAATACAAGAATTCGTTATGTTTTTCCTTGAGAAGAAAAAAACCCCCTATGCTTAGTGAATGCCTTTAAGTATCAAAGAGTTGCTTTATTGAAAGGAATTAACATTGTTTTTTTTTTTGAGACAGAGTTCTGCTCTTGTCGCCCAGGCTGGAGTGCAATGGCGCAATCTCAGCTCACTGCAACTTCCACTTCCCAGGTGCAAGCGATTCTCCTGCCTTAGCCTCCCTAGCTGGGATTACAGGCATGTGCCACCATGCCTGGCTAATTTTGTATTTTTAGTAGAGACAGGGTTTTTCCATGTTGGTCAGACTGTTCTTGAACTTCCAAACTCAGGTGATCTTCCCGCCTCGGCCTCCCAAAGTGCTGAGATTACAGGCATGAGCCACTGTGCCTGGCCAGAATTAACCTTTTTTTTTTTTTTTAATTAAAAGAGGTTATATAATGGATGCTTAATAGACATTATTAATGTTTATGTGCATTATTGAAGTACTGCATTTACGGAGTTAAAGTAGAAGTGTGATTTAGCATGGTATAATGGAAAAGAAAAACATTAAAAAATCAAAACCAGGTGTAATTGCTAACTCCCTGATTTCCAAGTATGTTTGGTTAGTTTGTTTCTCTAAACCTTGGTTTTTGAATCTGGAGATGAGGATCATAAAACCTACTTTGCATTTAGTTGTGAAGATTAATTTACGTGAAATGCAGAATGAATGCCTGGCACATTGTAGGCATTGAACACATGTTAATTACTCTAATTTTGCCCCCTCTCCCTCCACAGCTGTTAAAGACTTTTGATAGGGCAAAACATGCTATACTACTGAAGGCTTTTGTTTAATTAAATAACCTACCTAGAGTAGCATAATATCAACACAGAGCCTAATACAGTGTCCTGTATGCCAGTGTTATTGATAACAATGATCAAAACATACAGAAAATAAATGTAAATTGGAGGTTTTCCAGGCATGTGAAAGATTATGTAATTTATATGTAAATTGCACCACCAACTACCCAAGTGCCCAAGCCAGCAATCTTACCACCAACATTGACTCCTCTCTTTCATTAACTTCTATATTCAATCATTCACCAACCCCTATTGATTTTACCTACTAAATATTTATTACCACCAACATTGACTCCTCTCTTTCATTAACTTCTATATTCAATCATTCACCAACCCCTATTGATTTTACCTACTAAATATTTATTACTCCATCCATTTCTTTGCATCTCCTCTCCCTGGAGATCACCATCATTTCTTAGCTGGATTGATTTAATAATCCTCAAACTAGTGTCTGCCTTTAGTATTGTTTCCCTGGTCTTTTCTCCATAGTGCATCCATCCTGAATTTATCTGATGAATACGTGAATATTTTGAATTTTCCAAGATATGAGGGAGGTCGGTCAGTATATAACGATTATATATTGTAATTTGATTTTTGTTTGACCCATTTTTAGACTGAAATGAGCAGCCGAATGTGGTGGCTCATACCTGTAATCTCAGCACTTTGGGAGGCCGAGGTGGATGGATCACCTTAGGTCAGGAGTTCAAGATCAGCCTGGTCAACATGGTGGAATCCCATCTCTACTAAAAATACAAAAATTAGCCTGGCCTGGTGGCGGGTGCCTGTAGTCCTAGTTACTAAGGAGGCTGAGGCAAGAGAATTGCTTGAACCTGGGAGGCAGAAATTACAGTGAGTCAAGATTGCACCACTGCACTCCAGCCTTGGCGACAGAGTGAGACGTTCATCTCAACAACAACAACAAAAAAAGAGATGGCTATTAAATCATATACAAAAGTAATTGTTTTTATTCATTAAATTATTATTATTATTTTTTTCAGAGACAAAGGTCTATGTTGCCCCAGTCTGGTCTCAAACTCCAGGGCTGAAGTGATCCTCCTGAGTCTCCTGAGTAGGTAGGACTCCAGGCATGAGCCACCCTATCCTGCTAGAAGTTATGGTTTTTAAAGGTAAGATGTGCTTATATTACATGGGACTTAGAAGGGGCTAATAATTTTTAAAACACTAGAATAAATTTAAGAAAGATTGTTTTAAGATGGGTTATAACTTCACAACCTCATACATGGGTATATTAGATTTGTATAATTTTGTACTAAAGCTCTTAAATATGGCTTCTTAGAGCAACGAGTTTGCTTATTTATGTTTATAAGAAGTTCATGTGAAGTGTGTACTATTATTATAATTGTAACCCTCTAAGGGCTTGAAAATGCACTTTTATCATACCAGTTCATCTGAAAAATTGTAAAAATGAACAGATTTCAATTACCTTCATCAGCTTAAACAATTATGGAGAAGTAGTGGAAGATTTTCATGAGGTACACAATCTCATCCTTAAACCTAGTAACTATATACTCTTTTACAGATTTTGTAGTTACCCTTTTGTGCTTAATCAATCTTGGTGGCAGCAAAGTGTTTATGTCCTTGCATCTTAGATTCTGCTGTGTACAAAGCGTCTCTCTAGATGGAGTTTCCCAGCTGCCAGAAATTGTAATCATAGACTTTTTGAGCCAGAAGGGCCGTTTCATAGGCATCACCTGGGAACTTGTTAAACATACATTAATTGGGCCGGACCAACTGAATAAAGAACTCTGGAGGTGGGGTCCAGCAAACTAGTTTAGTAAGCCCTCCAGGTGATTCCAATCCACACTCAAGTTTCAGAATTCCTGACCTGAGTTTCACCCTTTGATTTCTCTTCTTTCTTTTTCCAGACAGAGTCTCCCTCTGTCGCCCAGGTTGGAGTGCAGTGGCGTAATCTTGGCTCACTGCAACCTATGCCACCCTGCTTCAAGTGATTCTTCAGTCTCAGCCTTCTGAGTAGCTGGGATTATAGGCAACCGCTGTCACACCCAGCTAATTTTTATATTTTTAGTAGAGATGGGGTTTCACCATGTTGTCCAGGCTCATCTCGAACTCCTGACCTCAACTGATCCACCTGCGTTGGCCTCCCAACGTGCTGGGATTACAGGTGAGAGCCATCATGCCTGGCCTCGCCCTTTGATTTCTTCATAAGGAAACTAGGTCCAAAGAGATTGTCACTAATTAGAAAAAATACTAGAATCTTTTCTAGGTAATTTCTAGAATGATGAAACATCCCAGAGGAAAATTTGTTTTTTGGGCTAATTGCTAAGTAGTAGTTGAAAAAATGCTAGGTGGGAATAAGTAATGATGGGGGAAGTCTGTCTACCATTTAACTCACTTGATGGGCTTCTTCAAGTTCAACATTATTTTTTGATCTATTTAAGTTTAGTCTGAAAGAAAAGTTTGTTTCATCTAACATTTGTTTTATTCACTTGGTCATTCATATGTCTTATTCCTTGAAGCAAGCTGGTGTGTTATTTAAGTAACTACTCCTTTCCGTCACTCATGCTCTCAAACTAATGAATCTTAGTGTGTGTGACCCTGCAGCTTTTTTTAAACAAGTTCCTCACACTGAAGTTTGAGAACCACTACTACAGAAGATGGTTAAAGTGCCTAAGAATAAAACTAGTTGGACTAGACCAACATTTTCAACATCCTTTAATTTAGGTTCCACAGTGAAAACTCATACATTCTGCTAATGTATATATCATGAAGCCAATATAACTTTAGAGCTTGCTCCAGAAATTTGTAATGATATGGTATTAAAGATATTTTTTTTTTTTTGAGACGGAGTCTTGCTCTGTCACCCAGGCTGGAGTGCAGTGGCCCGATCTCGGCTCACTGCAAGCTCCGCCTCCCAGGTTCACGCCATTCTCCTGCCTCAGCCTCCCAAGTAGCTGGGACTACAGGCGCCCGCCACTAGGCCCGGCTAATTTTTTCTTTTTGTATTTTCAGTAGAGACGGGGTTTCACCGTGTTAGCCAGGATGGTCTTGATCTCCTGACCTCATGATCCGCCCGCCTCGACCTCCCAAAGTGCTGGGATTACAGGCGTGAGCCACCGCGCCCGGGCTAAAGTGACTTTTTTTGGAAAGTATGTTTCCTCATCATCTGAGTGAAAAAAAATTCACTGTAGGAGGGCCAAGAGATCACCAGATTAAGAACAGTGTTGAAACAATGGATCTTGTTCTAACTACACAAGTCTAAGATGGTACAGACTGGAGTCAACTTTGATTTTCCACAGCACAAATAAAGGTCATGGCTTCATATCTCAGCAATTGTCCGGAGTTTTAGTTTTTCCAGATTACACTGTGTGGGGTAGTCGGATTTAGGAAAACAAGACACAGTATCTGGAGAATAAAAACAATTATAACTCTGCAAGAACAAAATTCAAGAATCTGCCTTGAATTTTTGTAGCACTTAATGTTTCTTCAAGGTGTTTTCACGTAAACGTTGATTTTATCTATGTAACAGCCCTGTGAAGAAGGCAGTTACTACTAGTAAAATCGTTTTCAAAATTTTAAATACCGAATCCATGAATAGGAAAAAGGACAGCGAAGTTGATAGCATTAGAGAAATGACAGAAAAGATCGTGAGGAAGCGATTCATAGAAATGGCAAACATAAAAAGCTGAGGCCCAGGGGTCCGCAAACCACAAGAGAAAGGGGCTAACCTGGCAGGGGAGAACGGCTGGCGTTAGTGGGGGAAGTGCAAAGAGGCAGGAGCGCAGGAAAGCTGGGGTTAGGAAACTGCAATTCACTGCAATAAAGAGGATGAGGTCAAATTTAAGAAAAATGAAGTCAGGTGGCATTGAAAGCTGCGTGGAAGTTTGTGAGTTTTATTCCTGCCCTGATGAAGTGTGATCTTTCACAGAGGAGGATCCCAAGAGTGGAGGCTGTGCCCTCCTTCGGCCTCCCGTCAGCGGCAGAGGGAGAAAAGACTCGAGAAGTTCCCCAGGCCGATAACCTCCATGGGGACAGAGCCGAGATGAGTCCCGGAGGAAGCCGGCGGGAAGCCAGCAGAGCAGGGTGGTGCGTTCCCGCCGGACTAACAAAGGACGCCGGGAGGTGGGGGCTTCTCGAGTTGCTCCAGCGGTGGGCGGGCGGCGGAAGGGTTAACTGCGCCACCACCTCCCGCGCGCATCCCGGCTCCTACCCTCGCCGTCGCTAGGAGACGCCGGAAGTGGGGGAGGGGCTGGCGGCGCGGGCGAGGGTGGGAATCTTTTTCGGGCTCCCGGGGGCGGAGGGAGGGGAGCGCGCGTGCGCGCGCCCGGCCGGCCGTCGCCGCGGTGACCGTCCTCGCAGTCCGTCGGCTCGCGCCCCGCCCCCGTCGCCCCCTCCCCTGTCGCGCGCTGGGGCTGTTTCTCGCTCCTCCGGAGTTACCGCCGCCGTCGCCACCGCTCCTCCTCTCCCGGTCCTGGGTTTCTCTGGCGCTGCGGCCGCCGTTCCCTCTGCGAGCTGTGTGAGGAGGAGGAGGAGGAGGAGGAGGATGTGAAGATGGCGGAGTTGCAGATGCTGCTGGAAGAGGAAATCCCGGGGGGCCGCCGGGCCCTCTTCGACAGCTACACGAATCTGGAACGGGTGGCCGATTACTGCGAGAACAACTACATCCAGGTGCGAGAGCATCCCCCGCTGGGGCGCGTCGGGCCTCAGGGGGCGGTGAGGGACGCGTAGGGGACCCCCCCATGGGGGGCCGCGCGCCTCGGGGTGTGGGGCCGAGGCCGCCGCGGGGACACGGCCCGGCGGAGTCCCCGATGGGGGTGGGGAGCTGGGTGAGGGCTGCGGCTGGTGAATGGGTGGGAATCCTCCGGCTGGAGAAACTGCATTTTTAAAACCTTTTTAAAAGCCGTGAAGCAGTCCTCGGCGCGGTGCGTGTGTCGCGTCCCGCCTCCTCGCCGCTGCTGCCCTCGGCCGCCCCCGCACTCCGCGCCGGTCAGCGTTCCGGATGGCAGAGGGGGCGGAGAGTGGCATTTTCTGTTTGACGGAATCCTGCTCCCTCTTAGGGTAGGGGTGTCGCTTGTATTGACGGGTTATCTCCATCCCCCACATTCTGGACGATTTTTAAGGGGCTATCTTGCTGCAGAGTGAAGTGCTTCAGGCTTCAGTTTTCTGTTCCTGTGAATGCTTCAGAAACCCTTTCTTAATATTTTATGTTCTAAAGGGGATACGGTAGAAGAGCAGCAGTCTCTTGTTGGAAGTTAATGCCATTTTTCTCCCTGTGGAGAAGGATGGTGAGCTGACTCCCCCCTCCCTCCTAGTCCCGTTAGAATAGGCAATTTTCCTGGGGGTGGGAAGAGGACAGACTATGACTGTTTCTTAGAATTGGGAAGATGAACCTCCTGTTTTTTTAAATTTTTTTTTAATTATTATTTTTTACCGTGATGGATCGTTTGGCACAGGGGCTTATAGTGGTAGCGGCGTGTGTGTGGAGGCGGGGGATACTGGATGATACGAGATCCAGCTGCTCCTGGATGAAGCAAAATATTCTGTGGATTAAAGAAAAATCCTTCTTTAAACATTACTTGAAAGGATAGCAGGTTAAAATGCAGTTTGCAAAATCCAGCATCTTTTGCTTTTTTGTTAACGGTTATTTTGAATTATGGATTCTGCCTCCATTTTTTTTTCTTTCCCGTTTAAATTCTCTTGGGATAAAGGTGGAAATGGAAGCAGTATGTTAAACTGTTTCTTCACAGTCCTCTCTCTCTTTTTTTTTTTTTTTTCCCCTGCTCCCACCTCCATCTCTCCAGGGATCTTTCTTTTTTCTTTTATTTTTGAGACACAATCTCGATCTGTAGCTCAGGTTGGAGTGCGGTGGCCTGATCTCGACTCACTGAAACCTCGGCCTCCTAGGTTTGAGCAAATTCTCGTGCTTCAGCTTCCCGAGTAGCTGGGACTACAGGCGCCCGCCACCAGAGCCGGCTAATTTTTGTATTTTTAGTAAAGATGGGATTTCACCATGTTGGCCAGACTGGTCTCGAACTCCTGACCTCAAGTGATCCACCCACCTCGGCCTTCCAAAGTGCTGGGATTATAGGCGTGAGGCACCTTTCTTAACGTTAGCTGTATAGGAAAGCATTTTCATGTTTTAGTGTAAATTTTAAGAAACTGGTGTTACAATTTTATAGGTTCATAAATTTTGTAATGGCCACATTGTTGATCATGGAAGTGAGATTTTGTTTGATTAGACATACTATTATCTTGTAGACAACATTTATATTTGAAAATGAACCACAGTATAAACCTGTTCCCTCGAAAGAGGCAGTTGAGTATGGCTACTAGGAAAGGAATGTAGGCAAGGTTAATACAAAAACATACAAATGTCCACTTGTAAGGTACTTTGCTGATATGAGTGGGGTAGAAAAGATTTAGAGGTTCAGGCCTGGGCGACAAGAGTAAAACTACGTCTCAAAAAAAAAAAAAAAAAAGGTTCAGTTGCTCAATGTTTCTCTAAAATTGAAAGTCTTTTATGGCCTAGAACTGTGTGAGGGGTGGATGGTACATACCTAGTGTCTACAGAGTTTGATAGTCTAGTTAGTAGGAGAGGCTGATCTTGGAGGAAATTAATACCATGTAGTTAATTTACGCTCTGTAGTGCACTGCTGGTACCAAGGAGGACTGGAGGAAGCAATGCTGTTCTGAGGGAATTCACAAACTCTAGTAGAGGCAAAACCTGAAGGACTGAAGTGGTACTTCCATTGCCTTGTGCAGCATATTATGGGGAAAAAGTTGCAGGTCAGAAGAGAAATTGAGGGTGGAAAAGTGGATTGCAATTATTACCAGTAAGAAATAAAAAATAAGCAGATTTCTCTCTCTTTTGCAAGATGGTTTTTTGTTGTAATTTGAAGGGACAAGTTCCTCTTAAGTTATAATTGCTATATAAAGGTAAAAGGATAAGGATTATTAAAGCTGAAAGGTTAAAGGGAGCAGCAGTTGTCTTTTTAAATATTATATACATTTCCTGCAGTTGAAAAGAGAAAAATGTCACTGCTATCAGTATCTGTTTTAGCAATGGGACTCAAAATTTAGTGTGGTGACATTTTAAAATTTAAAACATAAATATTGATTAATATTAATTTAATAGAAATGAACTTAGATTCTAAAATAGTTTATTTTTTCAATTTAGCATCTGAAGTAGATTTTACACTTTTTCTTTTTAGATTATCGTTTATTTTAGGATGCCTTGAGTATATAATTGGTACACTCTGTCAGGATAATAGCTCTTACATGATTTGTTGGGAAAGTTGATAAATAGAACGTGGTGATAGTGGATTTGTGCTGATCCAGCTGTACATTTGGCTGAGCGCCTTGTGACTAAAGAACTGACTAGCAGGGGTTTTGATGCTGCCTGTGACCCTGCAATAGATGAAAATTAATTCACAGGATCAGTGATCAAATGGTCAATTTAGCCTCTTTTTTTTTTTTTTTTTTGAGACAGAGTCTCGCTCTGTCACCCAGGCTGTAGTGCAGTGGTGTGATCTCGATGTCAGCTCACTGCAACCTCCGCCTCCTGGGTTCAAGCGATTCTTCTGCCTCAGCTTCCCGAGTAGCTGGAGCTACAGGCATGCACCACCATGCTTGGCTAATTTTTGTATTTTTAGTAGAGACGGGATTTCCCCACGTTAGCCAGGCTGGTCTGGAACTCCTGGCCTCAGATGATCAACCCGCCGCGGCCTCCCAAAGTGTTAGGATTACAGGCGTGAGCCACCGTGCCTGGCTAATTTAGCCTTATTATAGCATCATGTCTTAGCCACTAGCTCGAGTTAACTAACCCAACACTCATTTTATTGTGTGGAAATGTAATTTTTGCCTATGAAGTAGAAAAAAAATCTGTTTTTCATATGTAGTAAGTGTTTTTGTTCAGTGTTTTGGGTGTTTTTTTTTTTTTTTGAGACAGAGTCTCACTCTGTTGGCCAGGCTGGAGTGCAGTGGTGTGATCTCGGCTCACTGCAACCTCCGCCTCTTGGGTTCAAGTGATTCTTCTGTCTCAGCCTCCCGAGTAGCTGGGAATATAGGCGCGCGCCACCACACCCAGCTAATTTTTGTATTTTTGGTAGAGATGGGGTTTTACCGTGTTGGCCAGGCTGGTCTTGAATTCCTGACCTCAGGTGATCTGCCTGCCTCAGCCTCCCAAAATGCTGGGATTACACGGATGAGCCATCATGCCTGGGCTCAGTGTTCTTAAGTCACTGGTTTTATGCCTAGGAACATCAAAACATTTAAGGTAAATAACATTCTAAATGTGGATTATATGAAAATTGAGCCAAGGAAGGGAAATAATTGTGCTGTCCTGAAAATAATTGTACTCTGTTTAAATTGTTTGTGTCTTAGGAAAGTACCCTTCTGAAATACTGTCAGCATTAGGAGTGATCAGATAGTTCCTGTATTGAAACACACATACACACAGACACACACATACACACACACACACACACACACACACAATCTACAAATAGAGCAGGGTTGTAAGTAGCTGTTTTCTAGGTTACTAATGCAGTTAACATTAGAAATTAAGGCCAGGAGCAGTGGCTCATGCCTGTAATCCCAGCACGTTAGGAGGCTAAGGCCAGTGGATGGCTTAAGCCCAGGAGTTCAAGACCAGCCTGGGAAACATGGCGAAACCCCTTCTCTACAAAAAACAAAACAAAACAAAACAAAAACAAAAACTAGCCGGGCCTGGTAGCATGCTTGTAGTCCCACATACTCAGGAGGCTGAGATGGGAGGATCACCTGAGCCTGGAAGGTGGAGGCTGCAGTGAGCCATGATCCCACCATTGCACTCCAGCTTGGATGACAGAGTGAGACTCTGTCTCCAAAAAGATGTTTAAAAATCTGTTTTTTTCCTTTTTTTTTTGCGACGGAGTTTTGCTCTTGTTGCCCAGGCTAGAGTGCAATGGCACGACTTTGGCTCACTGCTACCTCTGCCTCCAGGGATCAAGCAATCCTCGTGCCTCAGCCTCCTGAATAGCTGGGATTATAGGTGCATGCCACCACACCTGTATACTTTTTGTATTTTTAGTAGAGATGGGGTTTCACCATGTTGGCCAGGCTGGTCATGAACTCCTGATCTCAAGTGATCCACCCATCTCAGCCTCCCAAAATGCTGGGATTGTAAGTGTTAGTTGCCATGCCCGACCTAAATTTTTTTTTTTTTTTGAGATGGAGTTTTGCTCTTGTTGCCCAGGCTGGAGTGCAGTGGCACGATCTCAGCTCACTGCAGCCCCTGCCCCCAGGGTTTAAGTGATTCTCCTGCCTCAGCCTCCCAAGTAGCTGGGATTACAGGCGCTTGCCAACACACCCAGCTCATTTTTGTATTTTTAGTAGAAATGGAGTTTCACCGTGTTGGCCAGGCTGGTCTGAAACTCCTGACTTCAGATGACCCACCCGCCTTGGCCTCCCAAAGTGCTAGGATTAGAGGTGTGAGCCACTGCGCCTGGCCCCCTAAAAGTCATTTTTAGTAAAAATTTAGACAGTTTCATTATTCTAACCTCTAGAAAATGGGATAGTCAAAATATTTTTTTCTAAAATATGATAAGTATTACTACAATTTGCTGATATTTATGAGATCGATTTTATTTTTTGCCTGTACAAAGGATTTAGTAGTTTGTAGAGACTTT